CTACAAGCCTGAATCTTGTGAGAACTGTTAATTTCTCATGTGCGTGGGTCCTGCCAGCAACCACAAAACCTAACCAAGGTCAAAGACAAAAATCATGAGTCAAAAAAGTGTTATTTCTTCCATCAGCTCGCAGAACTGAATTGCACTAAGCAGAATGAATCTTCATTCTGTATAATCTCCAAGTCCGTTTTTTCCTCTCTCTCTCTCTCACCTGTCCTAGAGCTACACAAGCAAAAATCAGCTGAAACTAAATAAATACTACTATTAATAATTAAGTTATTAATTACCAGTAATTAATTATTTTCTGTATTGCTATTGATGGCTTTGTGCTGAAAGTAGCTAATTATTCGTAAAAGATAAGGGCAAAAACTGTCTGCCAGGGCACCTGAATCACTAGGAGGAGGAAACTGAGCTCAGACCACACGTAGGAGACCCTGCCAAACGTTTCACAACAGAATAGTCATTGGGCTGGCAGATAATTCAGAAACTATTTGTATGAGCTGTTTATCAAATTATTAACTGCACAGATGTTGTTTGGTTGAAGAGCAGCTGAACCTTCTCTCTGCCAGCCGTGGAGACAAAGGTCTGCAGGAATAATTGGAGATGTGCATGGAATATTAAATTAATTTACTGCTCTTAATTCTTATGCAAATCCTGACCTCTGATAGAGCCTATCAATTACCCTGCAGGCAGGGAAAAGAAAGGAGAACAGTTTCTTTCTTTCTTTTTTTCCCCCTCCTCCCTTTCTTCCTCCCTCCTTTAAAAATAAATCAATCGGGCAAGGAAATATTTGGAATAAAGCCATTAAATAGGAGAAGCGAGGAACTGGGATTATTTAATTGAGTCTCCAACTTGCAATGCTGTCCTTTGGGAATAAAGACACATTTTTAAAAAAAGGTGGGGGGAGGGCTGGGAATGGAAAGTAAATGTAGCTGAAATAGCTACACATCTGTGAACCGGGTGCGCGTGGGGAAGAGCCCAAACTGATCCAGCGCCACATTGGTTTCCAAAGCGAAAATAACAAGGAGTCCAGTGGCACCTCACAGACTAACCATTTGACTGTGTCATAATAAAACGGTGAGTCCTTAAGATGCCCCCGGACTTCCGTGGAGCTGAAACAGACTCACCCGGCTGCCTCTGGAGCCTGTCAAAGATCCAACAGAAACAGGGTGTAACAGCCTGTGGAGAGCAGCCCGGATTTTGTGGGGTGGGAAAGGAAGGGAAGCAGCTAGTCTTTTATTCCCACTTTATGGGGCGGTGGTTCTGGGTTGTCTGCTGGGGAGCCAGGCTCGGGCCTTTCCGTGCTGCTGTTTGCAGGTAGGGATTTGTATTCAAGATTTCGCACTCTCCGAACTGTGGCTGGGCCCCCTCATGCTTGGTTCATGTCATCCCTCCCGTGATTCTAGCATAAAAGGGGCAGTCACCGGTCCGTGTTTAAGAGCTAGTGTCCCAGCAGTGGGAGCACACCTGGTCTCGGGCATCTTAATGGGAGTTGAAACTAGGAGTCCTAGGGCAACCTTAAAGACTAACAAATTTATTAGGGCGCGTGTTAGTCTTTAAGGTTGCCCTAGCACTCCTGCTTGATGCTGAAACTGACTAACCCGGCTCCCCCTCTGGACTCCTGGGTTTTCCTGAAACTGACTAACCCGGCTCCCCCTCTGGACTCCTGGGTTTTCCTGAAACTGACTAACCCGGCTCCCCCTCTGGACTCCTGGGTTTTCCTGAAACTGACTAACCCGGCTCCCCCTCTGGACTCCTGGGTTTTCCTGAAACTGACTAACCCGGCTCCCCCTCTGGACTCCTGGGTTTTCCTGAAACTGACTAACCCGGCTCCCCCTCTGGACTCCTGGGTTTTCCTGAAACTGACTAACCCGGCTCTCCCTGAAACTGACTAACCCGGCTCCCCCTCTGGAATTTAATGGGGGTTGTTCAGCGAAAGTTGGTGGTTGGTTTGTTTTTTTTAACGACTCTGGGCTTCATTTGTGCCTCGTATTTTCTCCCTCGGGATAAATAAACAAGCTGGCTAATGTGCTCGGCCCGACCTCTGCAAGACCTCCGCGGGGACATGAGGTTTCAAGCGCCTTTCCAACCAGCCCCTCTCCCCCGCCGCGGCCGCAATTAATCATGCGGCCGGCAAACAAGGAGATTCATTCCGCGACAAATAGCCTCACAGAGCGAGGCTGAATGCGGGCGATTAGCATGAGAAAAGAGGAGCCAAACTCCGCAGTCCAACAGCTAAAGAGCAATGGGAGGGGGGAATTACTGGATGGGGAGCGGCGGTCCGAGAGCGCGGCCAAGCAGGCCAGGCGCGGAACAAAACGCGGAGGCTAAGCCTGGGAAGGCAGAGAGGGACCAGGAACTGCGAAGGAGAAAGATCCACCCCGCCGCCACCAAGTCTCCAAGTGAACGCCAACAAGTGGGGTGGGTTTTTCCCTCAGAGGAAAAATGTCCGCGGATTTCTCCCACCCCCAGCTGGCAGGGACTCGAGCGCCAATGCTGGGGAGGGAGCCCTAAACCCTGGGGGCCGGATCCCGGCAAACCAGGGGCCGCATCCGGTCCCCGGGCCGTATGTCCCCCGCCCTCCCCGTGTAGGGTTTTCTGGGGAAAGAAACGCCCCAGCACAGGGATTATACATCGTGACAGTCCTTTCCTGTCTGGGAGCGCCTATTCTTACAGCAACGGCTCCTGTCCCACACGAAGTTGTAGGGAATAGCCCAGGAGCCCGCAGCTCTGTTATTTGTCCTCCCCCAACCCCCCCGCGTGGAGTTGGAATGAGATTCGCGGCGCCCTTTAGGTCGGGCGTGTATTTCTGCACTACGATTCCTCTGCGAACCCGCGTTTAGACGGGCGCTCCTGGTCACTTCAGTTAACACCGCGGGGTTGCAGGATCCCCCGCAAGTTCCCCATCACACTGGACTCCCCCCCTCACAGAACTAGAAGGAACCTGCAGAGGTCACTCACTCCAGTCCCCTGCCCTCACGACAGGACCAAGCACTGTCTAGCCCATCCCTGACAGGTGTCTGTCCAACCTGCTCTGAAATATCTCAAGGGCTGGAGATGCCACAACCTCCCAGGCAATTTACTCCAGTGTTTCACCTCCCTGACAGGTGGGAAGTTTTTCCTCATGTCCAACCTAAACCTCCCTTGCTGCAGTTTTGATCAGAGCCCAAGTACAGAACCTGGTTTCCAACGTGAGGACAAGGTCGCTCCCCTAATAAGTCACAAGCGCTTGTCCTACTCGCTTCGGGTTCAGCAAGCCGCCTCCTGAAAGGGGCGATGATTGTGTGCGGCTCTCGGTGTGTCTGTGGGCAGGCGACGGGGCGCAGGGTAACAGGGTCGGGCGATTGGCTCCACGCTCACGCAGACCAGGTGCTTAGTGGCAGCGTGGCGTGGGGAAATCTACCCGGTGTGGGCGAGCGCCGAGCTCCCCTGTGGAAAAGCCTCGAGAGATCGCTTGCGGCCGGCGACCTGGAGTCGAACCGGCCTTTCTGCTCGTGTTTACACAGGCCGCGGCTTCGAATGAGGTTCCGAATCGCAGCATTGAGCCTGACAAATCCCTCTCTTGTCAGGGTCTCCATCGCCTCCCGGTGTTTACACCGGACTGGCAATTACCCGCTGTCTCCCAGCCTGTCAGGTAGAAAGGGCCTAGCCCCAATTAAAAACCATCAGCCCCACGCCATCCGGCGCTCCTTTTCGAATTCACTCTCCATCGGACAGACTTTGTACTATGTATTGTCGATGTCTTGCTCGCATGCAAACACTGCATTGGCGTGTTTAATCTCAGGATCTTCGGGCCACGAATGAGCTTGTTTCTTAAATTATTAATATGCGTGTTCTTAAAGCGCACTTCATTCATGACGCTTCACTCCTCCCCGTTTTCCCTGGGTTATTCCTATGACGGAGAACCAGCTGTTGCCAACTTTGGGCTACATCTTAAACTTCCCAGGACGTGATCTGCAAGCCC